TAAACAATGACAAACTAAGAAAAAGAACTTAAGGTAATTTTTATTATCTCTGCCTTAGGAGGCTTCAGAAAAATTTGCTTAGGTTCTAAGTAGATGGTAGTAAAGATTTTATGCTTCAGTAGAGGAAAAGTGAGATTTTAAATAGAAGGTTTTTCAGCCTAATAATTAAAATAACAATACTTAGCAGACTTCCACAATACTGCAAACAAACAAAACCCAATTGCCTGGGCTGTTTTTAGTTTAAATTACATGGAGCCTTTTCCAACACTGCTTGTAGGTATGGAGGCTTGATTGAAATAGCTGCATAATTCCTGAGCAGAGGGTTCTCTTTGCTGTAATTACGTTCATGTGGTGACTCATATTCTTTTAATCCCTGGATTTTATAATTCAAAGGAAAATATTCCCTTGAACTTTGCAAACCTAGAAGACTCAAAAGTTGTTTTTTTAAAAATTATTGTTGTTGGGCGCCTGGGTGGCTCAGTGGGTTAAGCCGCTGCCTTCGGCTCAGGTCATGATCTCAGGGTCCTGGGATCGAGTGCCGCATCGGGCTCTCTGCTCAGCAGGGAGCCTGCTTCCCTTCCTCTCTCTCGGCCTGCCTCTCTGTCTACTTGTGATCTCTCTCTGTCAAATAAATAAATAAAATCTTTAAAAAAAAAATTATTGTTGTTATTACTACTACCACTATGACTTCTCTAAATGATATTATACCTAATTGTTTTTTATCTCACTCAGGCTAGCTCTGATAATGGGGATTTACTAATGTGACTGATGGAGAAAGGATCCCAGAGATACTCAGCATCAGGGATGGGCTTTTCTGGATCCCAGGACCTAAACAGCAGAGATTTGGGGGTTTTCCCTCTGGTATTCCCCACTGGCACAACTTTGTGTCTCTCAAGTGTCTGCTAATTTTTCACTTTTGCCTCTCTTCCCTGAATGATTTTTTTTTTGTGAATTCCCTTGTTCAGATTCCCAAGAGAGGGAATAATAGTTGGTTCTGCTAGTAAACACTGCCTTTGTATGACAGTTTCCTCCCCCACTTCTGTGAAGTTAAGACTGATACAAGGTTGGGGGCCTGTTCTTCGCAAATATCTGGCTGGTACCTCTCCTGTGTAGGGTATGGATGCGGGTAATCAGGTGAGATGTGGATGCTGGAACAATGACATGTCTTGCTTGAGGCAGATTTCTATCATGCTTTTGTTAGAAGTCCTTTTGTTAGAAGTCCTTTAGAATTTGTGAAATACTATCTTATATCCCCATGGGAAGAAAAGAAAGAGGAAGGAAGGAAGGAAGGAAGGAAGGAAAGACGGAAGGAGAGAGACAGGAAGGAAAGAAGGAGAAAAGAAAGACAACTGTTGGTTGACTGCACAATAGCTGTTCTCTCCACCACCCTCCTTTCCCCCTAACATTGTTCAGCTCTCTCTGCGTACTCATGATGCTCATGCAAGGCTCTGGAGATGGAAAAACTTGATCATTCAAAAGCAAATGTCCCAGTCAAAGGATCTGTTTTGGTGAGGCCCAGTAAGGTAATTCTGGTAAAACATACTTGAGAAGATGGATGCTAAGGGCTTTTGTGTAGAGTTTACTGATTCAAGGAGTACAGGGCTTTTCTTCCCTGGGATATTTTGATTTACGTGAGATGCTTCGAACTGCAGTAGCCATGCTAGGGTTATGACAAGAGCTAGTGAAGAGGACAGGTCACTCACCATACTGGTGATGGAGCACCATGAACATGAACTCACATCCATATACTGAGCCACCACACCAACTAACTCTGGAACTTTCCTGTTGTTTGGTGGGAAATTATTTTGATGGAATAGGTAGTAGCCCACAAGTATACTACCAGGTAAGCTAGCCCCCACAGGCCAAATTGAAATCTTCAAGTCATGTGGTTTGCTAAATTAACTTGAAGGACATGATGAGAAGCAAGAAGAAAGAAATGGTTAGGTTATCATCCCTACTAGAGGGTCCAAGTTGGATGGAAGGGATCCCTCCAGCTACACCTGGAGTGCACGGTGTTCATAAGTTCTGCTTCTCTCCCTGCTGTATCTGCCTTCCCTGCTGATGATGTGTTCTCAAGAACGAGTTGAGGTTTGGGCAAGCTCCATAGGTGGAAGGTAGTCCAAGCTAATGATGCCCATTTCCCAGTTCTGAGTTACACAGAGATTAAGTAGGCTTGGTTGGGAGCTGTAAATTGCCGGTGAGCTAGATGAACAGTCATGAATTCTGTTTGTGTTTTTTGGGCAAAGAATACATGGGGTAGAAATGGGTGTCAGCAGTGTTTATTAACCAAAGCAGTTTTATCCCCAAGCCTGCATTGGCAATGGCTGGACACATTTTTGATAGTCATGACTGATGAGTCTGTGTGATGCTATTGACACCTAGTGGGGGAGGCCAGGGATGCTGCTAAACATACTACAGTGTATAAGATACTCCCCAAGACAAATAATTATCTGGCCCAATGTGTCAGTACTATGGAAGTTGGGAAGCCCTGGGTGTCACCAATAGGTGATTGAATTAAGACCTCATAAATAGTGCTTATGTATAGTATGTATAAATATCCTGGATATTTAGTATCTTTTGTGTATTTATTGTATCATAAACATTTATTACCTAGATATCATTTGGTCACCCATCCCTTTATATCAACATGTAATGCATACATGATCTTTTTAGTTACACTTACCCACCCTATGCATTCTGTCACGTCTAACAAAATTTTGTTTACTAGTTACTCGTCTATATTTGAAATATCTTAGTAGGGGTGCCTGGGTGGCTCAGTGGGTTAAAGCCTCTGCCTTCAGCCCAGGTCACGATCCCAGGGTCCTGGGCTCTCTGCTCAGCGGGGAGCCTGCTTCCAACTCTCTGTCTGCCTGCCTCTCTGCCTGCTTGTGATCTCTGTCTGCCATATAAATAAATAAAATCTTTAAAAAATAAAATAAAATATCTTACAAGTGTTGGCATATATTTTGTAAACTTCAAATTTATTCATCTAACAGATCTGGAGATTTGCAGGAGCAAATTCACATTACACTTGTCCTGGAATTTCTAACAAGAAAGAAGATATAAATGTCCTATAAATAAACTAAATTATTTAAGCCACTTTTAATTGTGTTTTCTACAGCTTGCAGCTTTGAGCATCCTAGCTGGTTCCCCCATAACATCAGAAGGAAAATGTATTCCAAAGATATATGGAATAAAGAGTTATACTATAATTACAGGTCTCCTAAAGGGTAATGTAGGGATCAGATACTGCAGGGAATTGATTATGGTGCCTCTGTTAATAAAACACATGCTTGATCATTCTGTTTACCTTTCAAGCAAGTGTAGGCATGGTGCTTATCATGGCAGGCCTATGTGCTCAGATTGAGAGAGGAAGAGAGCACATGTGCATGCAATAGCAGGGTTGGGAGTGTGGAGACAGAGGGAGAGAGAGAATCTTAAGTAGGTTCCACACCTAGTGTGGAGCCTGATACAGGGTTCAATCTCATGACCCTGAAATCACGACTGGACCTAAATCAAGTGTTGGATGTTTAACCTACTGCATCATCCAGGTGCCCCAGAAATTCACATTTTTTAAAAAAGATTTTATTTGTTTATTTGAGAGAGAGAGTGAGAGAGAGCATGAGAAGGGAGAAGGTCAGAGGGAGATGTAGACTCCCCACAGAGCTGGGAGCCCGATGTGGGACTTGATCTTGATCCCAGGACTCTGGAATCATAACCTGAGCTGAAGGCAGTTGCTTAACCAACTGAGCCACCCAGGTGCCCAAAATTCACATTTTTTAAATGATTGGGATAATTTTAGTATGGTGACCTACAGAGCACTGTGAAAAAGACTTTTTAGTTAGCTGAATATCCATTGACAGAATAAACTTAGAAATTTATAAGTTCTGGGGCTCATTTGGTTAAGCATCTGCCTTTGGCTCGGGTCATGATCCCAAGGTCCTGGGATCGAGCCCCCCATGGGGCTCCCTGCTCAGTGGGGAGTCTGCTTCTCCCTCTCCCTCTGCCCTTATCCTCTGCTCCTGCTGACTCTCTCGCTGCACACTCCCTCTCTCGAATAAATAAATACAATCTTTTTTTTTTTTTTAAGATTTTGTTTATTTATTTGACAGAGATCACAAGCAGGCAGAGAGGCAGGCAGAGAGAGAGGAAGGGAAGCAGGCTCCCTGCTGAGCAGAGAGCCCGATGTGGGGCTCGATCCCCAGACCCCAGGATCACGACCTGAGCCGAAGGCAGAGGCTTTAACCCACTGAGCCACCCAGGCGCCCCAATAAATAAAATCTTAAAAAAAAGAAATTAATAGCTTCACAATTATTTTTATTTAATGATGTTAATTTTATTTATGTCTTAGTGCTTTAAAAATATGGAGACATTAAGACTTATGGAAGTTGTGTCTTGAGGTACCACTATTAAAGGGGGAATTTTTTCATATATGTAGAATTAAAGGAAAGCATATTTAAGAAGATGTAAACATTTTTAAATTGTACAAGAAGGTTGTTTAGGAGAGATTTCAAAAAGGATTACTTAAAAATGCTCAAGGCATATTCCTTCTCATTTCTTCCACCTTTCTTTGCCCCCTTTTAATGTTTTTGTGATGAAAAGGAATATTTTGCTAGGTTAAAATATCACACATTAAAAATGGTAAAGTATGGTAGTAAATCAGAACTATTTGGTAAAAGCTAAAGTAAAAATGGGAAGAATGTTTTAGGAATAATGGTGAGCTTAGGGTAGTTTCCTTAGAACCATTGACCTAGGTCAGTGGAATAGGCTAATGACAGGTGATTAAGCTCATTGTTTTTGAGGAGTACTAGGATCTGTGTGTGCGTGTTTGTGAGAGAGAGAAAATGAGAGCGAGAGAGAGAGAAAGAGACTTATAAAGTTTTATTTTTGTTTTAAAATATGAGCCAAAGAATCATAAAGCTGGTATGTGTAAACTTGTCAATTTTCAGATGATTTACATTTTCAAGGCCCTCTTTAATCATCGTTTCTGTTTGTTACAGTGATTTGCTGTCCTCTGAATACGTAGAGAGACATGTTGAACATGGAGGGAAGACAGTGGAAGTCAAAGTAAGTAAAATTGTCTCCCTGTGGGGGAAATCTTTTGAGAATTTTTAAAATACTGATTCTGATTTTAATTTTCACTGAAACTTCTAAGTGTACAGTCTTGGACTTTTATATTTCATATTTTTTCAAGAAAGTGTGTCACCCATTTGTGAATACAAATCTTCAGTTATCAGAGAAAGAATTCTTAGTGTGCTTTAGGAATTGTTGGAGTTATGTTTTTGTTTTTTTGGGTTTTTTTTTTTGGTAAAGATTTTATTTATTTATCAGAGAGAGAGAGTACAAGCAAGGAGAGTGGCAGAGGAAGAGGGAGAAGCAGGCTTCCCGCTGAGCAGGGAGCCCCATGTGGAGCTCGATCCCATTACCCTGAGATCACAACCCAAGCCAAAGGCAGACCTCAGCAGACTGAGCCACCCAGGCGCCCCTGGAGTTGTGTTTTATGGGATTAATGTAGCAGAAGGGTTATTTTTTAGAATATGTCACAGAGAATGATTTCTAAATTTTCCTTTAAGGTTAGCCCTGAGATATAAGAAGTAACATCTTGGTTCCAGGATAGATACAGGACTCTACATTCAGTTGAAAAAAACATTCCCCTGATAAAATGGAAAATCTATTAGGTCTGTAGGGAAAGCCCCGGGGGTTTTTAAATCCCTGGTGAGAGAAATCACAGGACACTGGTTCATTTCAGGTAAGCTCTGAAAGGAAATTTGTAAATAAAATCCTCTTCCAATTATAGGCATAGGAATGTTTATTTTTGTCCAGGCTACTGATGATGTCATCTGAGGACAGGTGAGGCTGAATCCCTCCCAGGGTTTTCTTTAGGCCCCTTGTATATAGTACTATGTTTTAGCCAAGTTTTAATTTCTTCTGAACAGTGTCCAGACTATTTGTTTTGCTTTACCAGAATTATATGCCATTTATATTCATTTTCTTTTTCTGAATATAAATTTGATACAGACTCATTTTAGTAAACTTAAAAATAGAAAAAAATGGGGAAAAATGAAAAATCACCCTTAAATTCATCACTGAGGTAACCTTTGTTTTCATTTTGTTGTATGTCCTTTTAATATTGTTTTGTCCTATGCACATATTTAAATTTTTTATATAGTTGCTATCATACATACCTGCACTATAGTATCTTGCTTTTCAAGCAAGATTTCTATGTATAGACATCTCTGATAAAGACTTAAAATCTGTTAATTTTTACAAGTGAACTAATTATGATAATTATAACAGTCCTTTCAGAAAATTACTCTAAACTTGTTAAGACTGACTGACTGAATGGTCGGTTGATGTATTTGCACTGCCTTACTGCAGAAAGGATGTCAGGACTCTCCCAGGTCTGACATAGGAGAATAGTGCCATTTTGTTTGGAGTTAGAAAAAAATAACTGATATTTAGAAGCTCTGGGCTTCTCTTCTCTTCCCTGTTTATTTGGTTCACTTCCTTATTTTGTAGGATGCTTTTCTGAATGCAGAGTGTATCTTACTCCTTTGTTAAATTAAAGAGGAAAAGAAACAGACAGTTCAATATGTATTTCCATTTCTACCTGTCAGTGGAATAATGAAATACATCTATAGGCATGGAGGGCAGATCTAGCAGAAAACTATCTGCTGTTGCTATAGTAATATCCTTTCCAGGAAACTTGTACTTCGTCAACAAAGCTTACACCACTCAGGTCGTTAGGCAACGTGGGTATGTATAACACCTAGAGCTCTGATGTTCTGCACGGTCTTTGCTGATTTTCTAGTCTGAGAATTGCATTTTCTTAGTTGATGGTTTGCCTAACCGCCCAAGCCTATTAAATCAGGGAAATAATAAATCCACCCTTCATTCAAACTCGAAGGCCAGAAGACGTTGCTCCCTTTAAGAAAACCACTTGGATCTCACCCATCACCTCCATTTGTTTCTCATCCATTTAAAAATCTAACTCAAAATTCTCCTCTGGGTTTTTTCCAGGAACCACACTGAAAGCTCTGAATCCTGCCCCATCAATTGAGTTAGTAGCCAGTTATTTTCCTGTTGGTTCCCTTGTGTCGTGCCCTTTGTGCTTTGCTCTTTTTTTTTTTTTTTTAAAGATTTTATTTATTTATTTGACAGAGAGATCACAAGCAGGCAGAGAGGCAGGCAGAGAGAGAGGAGGAAGCAGGCTCCCCTAGAGAGCAGAGAGCCCGATGTGGGGCTCGATCCCAGGACTCTGAGATCATGACCTGAGCCAAAGGCAGCGGCTTAACCCACTGAGCCACCCAGGCGCCCCTGTGCTTCGCTCTTTGGGGTGTTTCTTTTTACATGGAGTCTGTTAGTTCTCTTTTCTTTACTAATGACTCAGAATTTTCTTAAGCCTTTCTTTAACTATACATTAGGAGTGAAAATTGTAGTATTTCATATTTTTTTCTTTCTTTTCTTTCTACTACCTTTTCAAAAAAAATTTTTTTTCTTACCTTCTGTATCAGTTTGCTAAGGCTGCTATCACAAAGTACCACAGAGTGGCTTAAACAACAGAAATGTATTTTCTGGGGCTCCCAGGTGGCTCAGTCCGTTAAATGGCTGCCTTTGGCTCACGGTCATGCCTTTGGCTCAACACCATAGGTCATGATCCTGTTCTGGGATGGAGCCCCACATTGGGCTCCCTGCTCAGTGGAGAGCCTGCTTCTCCCTCTACCCCTCCCTGCCGCTCTGCCTACTTGTGCTCTCCCTCTCCATCTCTCTGTCAAATAAATAAATAAACTCTTTTAAAAAAATGTTTTTTCTTAACAATTTTGGAGGCTAGAAGGCCAAGATCAAGGTGTCAACTGGGTAGGCTTCCTCTGAGGCTTTTAGATGGTGCCTTCTCCTTATGCCTTACATGGTTTTCCCTCTGTGTCTGTCTGTGCTTTAATTTCTTCTTCTTCCTTTTTATTTATTTGAGAGAGAGAGAGTGCAGGAGCAGAAGAAGGGCAGAAGGAGAGGGAGAAGCAGGCTCCCCGCTGAGCAGGGAGCTGGATTCAGGGATCCATCCCAGAACCCTGGGATCATGACCTGAGCCAAAGGCAGATGCCTAGCCAACTGAGCCACCCAGTAGCCCTCTGATTTTTTCTTCTAAAACAGACTATTCCTCATGTTGGATTAGGGCCTACTCAAACATCCTCATTTTAACTTAATTACTTCTTTAAAGACTCTATCTTCAAGTATAATTATAATCTGAGGTACCTGGGGGGTTAGGACTTCAACATAAGAATTTCAGAGGAATAAAATTAAACCCATAACACCTTTCTTAAGAGGGCCATGCTTTTTTTTTTTTTTTTTTTTTTTTTTAAAGGCTTATTTATTTTAGAGAGAGTGAGGATGAGAGAGAGCATGAGTGGGAGGGGCAGAGGGAAAGGGGGGAGAATCTCAAGCAGACTCCACACTGAGTGCACAGAGCATGGAGCCCCATATAGGGCTCAGTCTCACAACCCTTAGGTGAAACCAAGAGTCCCACGCTGAGCAGACGGCACCACCCAGGCGCACCTTGTGTTTTTTAATTTTTTTTTTTAATTGGCTTTTCTTTTGGAAGTGAAATAAATGAAGGGTATGCGAATTCAAGACAAAACTCTACTTCTTTTGATAATATAAAATCAAAATCAAAATCATTATGCCAGATCGGGATGCCTGGGTAGTGCTGTCTGTTATGCATCTGATTCATGAGTTCAGCTCAGGTCATGATCTTGGGGTTATGGGATTGAGCTCTGCATGGTGCTCCCCTTTGGGCAAGGAGTCTTCTTGAGATTTCTTCTGCCCCTCACCCTGATTGTGGTCTCTCTCTCTCTGTTTCGCTCTCAAATAAATAAATAATTAAAATCTTAAAAAAAAAATCATTAGGCCAGATTTAAACAATGGCTAGATACCAATCTAGTAAATGACTCTGCTCAGGTGTCATGGAACCTTTATTTGTGAAACTCAGGTGCAATGCATTTATTAAAGGGTGTGAGTATGAATGTGGGAAAAGGAATACATTTGCATGAAATAGCTACTTTGGTGAATCTTTTAGATTGCGATAATCTTTTTTCAAACCTTTTTATTTATTATATTTAAATTAAAACAAATAAAAAATTTTATTTATTTGAGAGAGAGAGCATGCACAGGAGCATGAGGGGGGAGGGGCAGAGGAAGAAGCAGACTCCCCACTGAGCAGGGAGCCTGAGTTGGGGGGGCTGGATCCCAGGGCCCTGAGATCATGTCCTGAGCTAAAGGCAGACACTTAACTGACTGAGCCACCCAGGAGCCCCTAAAACCTTTTTAAATTGTAAAATGTAACACTGACACAGAAATTGCTAAGGTGAGTACCCTATAACCCCCATCCAATTCAAGAAACAGCTCAACCAGGTCTCCTGTGTGCTGCTTCCCAAACCCAAGCCCCTCCCTCCTCTTACAGACTTGTAAATAGTATTGTGACTTTAATGGTTGTAATTTCCTCATTTTTGCTTATTGCGTTATCACATGAGCTTGTATTTCTGCAGTTTAATTTGCCTATCTGAAGTTTTTTTTAGTGAGTTTTATTTTTTTTTCAAGATTTTATTTATTTATTTGACAGAGAGAGAAAGCACAAGCAGGGGGAGAGGTGGGCAGAGGAAGAGGGAGAAGTGAGCCAGTTAATGAGTTTTAAAACAGTCTCTTTTAATCTGTTGGTTTCTCCATATCTTTCTTTTTTTTCCTTCTCCCTTGCAATTTATATTTCTTCAACAAATCAATTGTTTATCCTATGTGGTTCACAGTCTGAATTTTGCTGTTGACTGCAATGTTATATTTAGAGTAAAATGAAATCTATGTCAGTGATCTTCCCTTAAGATAGTGATTTGTATTATCCGCAAGGACATTCTATGCCTTGTTGAAGGTAGTTTTATTCCAGTCAGATAGATACATAATCCCGATTTTAAAGTTCTATTAAAATCTTTTCTTCAAAGGTTACAAAGATAAAAGCTTTAAGTGGAGGGAAAAAAAGAGAGATTTTTGTTCCTTTAATAAGACATGTTAATCTCGTCTTTCAC